GCGAATTATTGAACGACCACGGCCTCCGACGATCCGCTTTCGGCGCTGTCTCTTTCGGTCATGGTGACCGTGGCGTCGGCAATTTTGTCGGTGAAAGCGAATTATTGAACGACCACGGCCTCCGACGATCCGCGTTCGGCGCTGTCTTTTTCGGTCACGGTGACCGTGGTGGCGGCAATTGTGTCGGTGAAAGCGAATTATTGAACGACCACGGCCTCCGAGGATCCGCGTTCGGCGCTGTCTCTTTCGGTCACGGTGACCGTGGCGGCGGCACAGTGGAGTACTCGCTCGGGGCAACTGTCTTGCACGATTGAGCACCATTGGTTTGCAGTACTGGTAAGGAACGCCGGGCGTTAAGTTTGTGAACTTTACGCTTGTCAACTTCTGTGTTAGCAATAGAGTGACGTAAATCTCCATATCTATTTTACGGCAGTTGTATCCTTTTAACTCTACACTAAGGCGGAAGACGTGCTGACCTCGCTCAAACTGACAATTCCCAGATGGAGCGGTACACGGTGGTACAACCTGTACCGGGAGCAGTATAACGTGGCCGCGTTAACTAAAGCCTGGGAAAAGTTGCGCCATTCATTGATGTGGAAATGCTCGAGGCACGTGCCGCGCGCCACATCTGGGAAGAACATGGCGTCTGAAATCTAGTTCGGTGCGGCGCTGTGTCGCCATGATCTTCCCAAGGGCTGCACGTGGCACGCGCCTCTTGCATCGACGCACTTTGCGCTACTTTTAGAACTTGAAGGGGCTTTAGCCAAGGAGGTTATAATGGGCAGGAGGTGGCGTCCCTATCCCCAATGCATGGAGCGAAGTGTAACGGAAGTAGGCGTGGCCACGAGCCGCAACGAGCATTTCTTGACCAATGGAAAGCCTAGTGAGTGGGCGCCGCCATTAATTTCGGTGCAAACAACCGCGTTGCCATGACATTTCCGTGGCAACGCGACTGTGTGCACCGAAAGTAATGGCGGCACCCACTGTTATTTGAAACAGCGATTAACGGGAGACCTTTAAACCGCCTAGTTGCTCAGCAGAAAGTATGTGACTAGAAGTGAGACGCTCTAGACGACGCACCGTGAAGGACTTGGGGGTGCGCAACGCATTTTTAATAAACAGCAGCTGTAGATCGCACGAGCGCGCATGCAAGCCAGGAGCGCACAGAACGGGCTCGCGCTTCCAGTTTTGACTTCGCTCGCACATAATGTGAAACTAAGTATAAACACTCACTCTGCAAAGGATTTGCACCGTGGACGCCAACGGCGGACGCCGACCGCATCGAAAGCTAGCCTCGTATAGCACACGCCGGAGCAGATTAGAAAGCAGACGAACCGCCGGTGCGCTATCCCACGGCCTCGGAACGGGTGCGCAAGGCAGTCTGGGATTTAACGCCTCTTCCGGCTTCACTCAGCCTGACGTCATGCCGGGTCCTGTCTGTTTAAACGTCCTTGGGCTTTAGCGGTAGGCAGCGGCGGCCATAACATATGACGCTTCCCGCGCGTTTCTGAAATGCGATTGTGGCGTGTTAAAGCTTGCTAAAATTATGTGTTATATATCATCTTGTAGTGTCCAACATTATCTTTCCTCTGATGCAGGATTTGTTTTCCTAATGCAAAAAGCTCATTCAGTGGGTACCCGCGAGTATTGGCCTTTTCGGCAAAGCACGGTTTCGTAGTACAGTGGTGCAGGGTGCACTATTGGAGCAATTTCTTTTAAATTTCAGAATTTTATAGAATAAAAGTTCGTTCATTGTCAATGGAAGCCTTTTTTTAGTTTTTTTCATTTTATTTTGACAGATATTTGCTTTTGAAAAACTGACTTTGCGTTAGCACGTTCAGTCGCGAATTTTTTGGCACTTACTCGGTCATTTTATTTGAAACTTTTTACAGGTGTCGCAATTATAGTCGAACGAGCTACGCTAAATTTCATTGTAATATGACCTAAATGTTTTCGGAATTCTCACGTAAACATTTACAAAACAGTCAATTTTGGCAAACTCCATTTGCTAGTGCTGTGGCACAGCGCTTACGGATTGGCACAGTTGAATCAAATTGTAGGCCGCAAAGAAAAACATATTCTTCTTTGTCAATCGAGGCCCTTTTTCTAAATTTCGCTTTTGATTTTCCATAAAAAAAGTGAATAGAGGCGAAATCACAAATTTATTGATAGTCAAGAACGAGTATTTTGACCGCTTTTGGAAAACATTTAGGCAGATATTTTTAGTACAAAATAGTGTTTACTGTCCCAGATCCTGATTATCAGCTCACACTTTCGATGATCTCTCCTGATTATTCCTTCTTACATAAATTTTGTTAAACTCATTTTGACGAAACCGCAGATCAAAATAAGAAAAAAAGATACTTGAAATATATATATATATATATAAATATATATGTTTGATTTTGTCTGTACATAATGTCCCGTGTTACATACACCCCTCACAAATACACTATAAAAAAGAACACAAACACACACACCATCGAGCACTTAACACCAGAATCACACTTCCGTTAACTGCTCCAGAGCCTTATACCCCTGCCACACGGGCAACTCGAATGCCACTCACAACGAATGACATTTGAGCGGACGACCAATCAGCGCGCGACACTCCGGGCGTGGCACATTCCACGCGCGACAGATTGCGAGCTGATTCGCCCATCACACAAATGTCATTCGTGGTAAATGACATTCGAGTTACCCGTGTGGCACGGGTATTATATCTAAGGCTCCGTGTTTTCGGAGTTTATTTTTCGTGAAATGCGGAGAACGTGTTTTTCAAAGTTTATTTTTTAGCGAAAATTCAGTGTTTATCTCAGTTTAATATTAAAAAAAAATTCGAACACCAACCAAGCCCTTCTGTAGGGACCCAACGTTTCAAGGCCAATTCGGCCTCTTCTTCAGGGGCGACTACGGCTATGGCCGTTGAGTTTGTTTTTCGTAAATACACAATTCTCCGAAATTCGGAGATTAATTTCGCAGTGTTTTCGATTAAACAATATGCCAAATATGCCAGATGCCAGATAAAAAATAAAACGCGCTTGAATCAATTAAGATTTCTTCAGTTGAATTTGGCGTTGATGTCATTGGAAATACTAATTTGTCCCACGACAAAAGTCGCACATAAGTGCGGCTTCGATAAACGTCGATATCTTAAGATCAATAAACTGCCGGAGGTAGCCGCAAGGAACCCCGTAGTCATCTCATCAATCTATCCCGCGGCCGCGCGAGGTGGAGTGGTTAAGGATGTAGTAGAAAAGTTTCAACAGTCCCTCTTCCCTATTTTATACAATCTCTATGGTCCATGCGCTTTCACTGTGACCCCCAGAAACGTACCCTCTCCTTTCTCTAAATCCCAAATCCCATGACACAAAGTGGAGACCAAAAGAATGGCTTCTGTCGTGACACGAATGGTACGATGACCTGTTTCCCTGAACCAACCTTGACGAGACGAGCTGTAAGGCGCCCTTTTGACAATGGTCCTAGGCTTGAAAGATAATGGTGGTGTCATTTTCCCAGGACCATTGATCCTGCGCTGCTCAAATTGAAAAAAAAAAGAAAAAAACCTTTTTCTTGTTGCTGGGGGAGGGGGTGGCATGAACACATAACAATTCGGAGTTTATCCGATAAATCCGAATTGACAAAAATTTTACCGGCGGGTGTTCCCGGATTTTTCGGATTTATCCGAAAACACGGAGCCCTATAGCCTACATATTTAAGGTAACCATTTGGCCGGTAACAACTTCAGTACTTATTAAGGTTCCAAGTGTCCGATCTCCTTCTCGGGAGTCTGTCAAGGGCAAGCACTGTTTCGAAGTTCGTGGACGATATCTCTTACTAAAAACCATTGGTACAACTAATAATGATGCGGCGCAGTCGCTAAAACAACATCCACAAAAACAGTTCCCAGAAGATGTGTTATCGCTTTTTAGCCTTTACGGGCGAGAAAGAGAGAGGAAGGGGTCCGTCCGGGACGTAACGCTAGACACAGCGAACTTTTATGTTACGTGGGACGTAACTTTAATTTTATTTTTGTTACGTCGGACATGTTATCAGAATGTTTAACTAAATAGAAACAGGAAAGTGGATGAAAAAGATCAATTGCCACTGTTCTTTGATTGTAAAAAAGGTACCCTAAATTAAAAGAAAAATGAAGTACAAAGAAACCTACAATTATTTTTAGAACTCTTTCAAATATGTCAACAGGGAAAAATCTGTAGAAAATGTATTTTTCTTTTCAATATTTTCAAAAAAATTATTCAAAACTTTTTTCCAAAATAAAGAATGTTCTCAATGTTTTTAATAAATTAATAAAAATTAATTGTTTCACTTTTTACTAAATAATATAAAAACAATGTCAATAACATTTTTTTTCAGAAAACAACATAAAAAAGTTATCACAACTTTTAATATTTTTTTTATAAATAAGTTAAAAACACTATTTTTTCCTTCTGAATTTTTTTTTTAGAAAATAGCCTACAGAAAAACAATTTTTTATTTTCTTTTTTATAAATAAGATTCTACAAAAAAAATTCATTCTTTTTTCTTTTGAATTTTTTGGGAAAATAACCTAGAAAAATATGTCATTAAAACTTCTTTGAACATTTTTTTATAAAAAAAAAGTCTACAAAAAGTTTCGTATTTTTTCTTTTGAAAGTTTTTGACAATATTAAAAACAAAGTGCGTTAATAAAGGAATTCAGTAGGATCCCGGGATGTCAGTAAGTATAAAAAAATTAAAAAAGATTGTTCTGTCCTGTTTTTGTAAGGGTTGTGCCAGGCTCGGAGAGCAGCTATGCGCCATCCAGCCACCTATAGTAGAGATCAGTGACTCCAATGCCCGTGTCCCACTAGAGCGACATACAGAAACAAAAGACAACCACAAGCCTCAAACCAGTCTCTCGCGATTTGAGAGAGAGAAAACATCTTTATTGACCCTTAGTTCAGGGTGTCAAAGTGGTGTCCAGGAGGACGCCATTCAGAAGGGTGAGGATAGGTGGATCATGGGGGATTGATGGCGTCTTTCGATGCCCTCAGCTTCTCTTCGATGGTTGTGATGTGGTGAAGAAGGGCGTCGAAGATGGCGGGCACGTGTTGATGATTTGTGGGAAAGAGCCACTCTTTCCATGTCGTGGGCCGAAGCCCGGGAGGGAGCTTGGAAAGTGTAGAGCGGATGGATAGTTGTGCATGGAGGCATTGCCAATAGGTGTGCGTGTTGTTTGGGTAGCCAGTGCAGAAGGGACACTTAGCTGTGCCCTGAGCGCCTTGGAAGAGATGAGTATAGTGTGGGGAGGATAGCGTGTGGGTCTGTGCTCGGCGTATAGTGCTGGCCTGTTGTCGAGAGAGTGTGGGAGGCGGTGGTACGAGGGCGAGTCTGGATTCGCGGAGTTGTCGGAGTGTGTTAGAGCGCTGTTGATGGTATTCATTGCGCTGGAGTTGGGGGTCATAGGACGTAGGCCAGTCAATCGCAGGTCCCGGAGTGGAAGTGACTCGGGAAAGTGAATGTGCTCGTTCATTGCCTGGGATTAAAGCGTGGCCAGGGATCCAGTAGATGTAGAAGCGAAGGGTGGGGGTGGTGTTGAGGGCGGCTCGAAGCTCGCGCGACATGTAGTTGGGGAGTTGGTTGTACTGAAATGTGCGAACTGCTTTTTGGGAATCTGTCAGGACAGTGATGGAGGTGTGTCCCTCGTGGGGGTTGGCGATGGCATGGTAAATGGCGGAGCACAGCGCCTGAGTCTCCAGGAGGTCTGCCCAAGGCGCTTCGGTGTATGTTTGCCTAAGCGTTGTGTTGGACTGGGGACAGTGAATTGCGGTGCGGCCGAGTTTGGCGCCACGGTCGTAGCTGGCGTCTGTGTAGTAGATGAGGTGCTGCTGTGCCTGAAGTGTGGCGGGTTTTTGGGATATGAGTTTGGCTCTGTGCTTGCGGCGTTCCGGGTTGCTGTCGGGATTCATATGTTTGGGTATGGGGAGTGCGGTGATTTGGGGTATGGTATCCCAGGGAGGTGTGGTTGTTTTGATGGGAGGGAGGTGCAGGGTGTCGTAACCGAGAAAATTGAGAATGTAGCGACCCTGCAGGGACGTGGTTAGGCGTTGTTGTTGACCCAGTTGGTGCAAGTCGACTCGCCCCTCGAGTGTGTTGAAGGGGTCCATCTGTTGTAAGTGCTCTAGGGGAGCGTACTGTGGCACGCCGAGAGCAAGGCGGGTGGGTTTGCGGAGCTGTGTCTGGAGGTGTTTGAGTTGACGGGTAGTGAGTGGGGTGTAGGGGATATGGTAGAGTACGAGAGAGTAGATGAGAGCTTCGATGGCTCGTCTCATGTCGCTCTCTTTGAGGCTTCTGTGGCGCCGGGAAACGCGGCCGAGGATGTGTGTGATTTGATTTATTTGTTTGGAGGGGGTGGAGAGGGTGATATCGCTTGCACCGTTGTTTTGGATGGTGAGGCTTAAGAGATTGATGTGCGGGCGTTGGGGTATGGGAGTGCTGTCGAGGTGTACGGGGATCAGCTGCCTGTCGGGATTGTTTTTGCGGTTGCAGATGACGAGGAGTTCCGATTTAGATGGAGAACAGGCCAGACCTATACTAATGGCATAGCGTGCGACAGTGTCGCAGGCGTGTTGCAGTGTTTCTTCCTGCTGGCCGGGGGAGCCAGTGTTGGTCCATAAGGTAACATCATCGGCGTAAATGGAGAATTTGAGGTGAGGGATGGCGTCGAGTTGTGCGGGAAGTTTGCTCATGGCAAGATTGAAAAGGGTGAGAGAGAGGATGGAGCCTCGTGGTACTGCTTGGTTTAACGGAAAAGGTGTGGAGATGTGTCCAGGAATTTTAAAGGCGGCCGTGCGGTTCGATAGAAAGTGGCGGATGTAGTTATACATTCGAGGGCAGCACTGCGTTTCCCTGAGGGTACTGAGTATGGAGTCATGTGAGTCGTTGTCAAAGGCTTTGTAGATGTCCAGGCTTAGGAGTGAGAGGAGTTATGTGGTACTTTTGTCTTGGAGGAGGTCATTGTATAGCCGAAAGAGACAGTCTTGTGTGGAGATATTCTTGCGGTAGCCAATGAGTGTAAAAAGTAGGGCTTTCACGTGCTCGCGATGCCATTCGAGGCGCGTGAGAACAAGCTTCCCAAGAAGTTTGCCGGTGCACGAGGTGAGGGAAATGGGTCGTAGGTTCTTGACTTCGGAGGTTTTGTTTGGTTGGGGATCATGGTGACGATGGCGTGTTTCCATTCTGCTAATATGTCGCCAGTTTGCCAAGCACTATTGAAGTAGTTTAGGAGTTGTTGGAGTTGTGTGTCGTCAAGATTGCGGAGAAGTTAATATGTGATTTGATCTTCGCCAGGTGATGTGTTTCGTTTGAGAGAGTCAAGTGCCCGCTTTAGTTCGTTGAGTGGGAAGGGGGCGTCCATGTCGCATGGGTCGAGGGGAGGAGTTGGAGGTTCTGGTGTGTGTGATGTGTCGGTTGGTGGTGGAAAGAAGGTGTCGAGGAGTTGCTGCTCGAGGTCGTGCGAGGTAATTTTGCTGGCGAGCATAATGCGTGTGAAGGGGTCGCGAGGTTGAGAGGGTGTGAGAAGTGTGCGTAGGATGCGCCACGCTTTTTTGGTGCCGAGTTGGCCGTTGAGGGAGTCGCAAAGTTGAAGCCAGTTTTCGGTGGTGAGTTGCTCTGCGTAGGTTTCGGCTTCTTTGGTGATGTTGGGAATTTTGTGTTTTAGGTGTTTGGAGTGCTTGGTTTTCTTCCATTTTTCACCAATTTGCGTCTAGTTTTCCAGAGGTTGAGAAGATGGTTGTCAATGTACGGGGTAGCGGTTGTGGTTTGGGCTTCTTTGGTGCATTTCTTCTGTGCCTGGAGGAGATGGTTGGCCCAGGCTCTGGAATCAGCGTCCGTCGGTGGGGGGTTGTTGGAGGTATGGTAGCGAAGGTGACCCCAGTTTGTGATGCGAGCAGTATTGCGACGTACTTTCTGTTTGACGTTGGTGATCACTGTGAGGTGGATGAGGCGATGATCGCTGCCTAGCTGTTCGTCAGATGCGGACCATTCAGCAACGGATGGACCGTTATGGAAAGCCAGGTCGGGATTGGTATCGCGTTCTACACTGTTACCGGTGCGGGTGGGTTGTGTAGTGTCGTTGGCCAGTGTCATCGACGTTTGGGCGGTTGCTTGTGCGAGGAGGCGCCCATTGTGTTGAGTGTTTGGGTAACCGCAGGACACATTGGGGCTGTTGAAATCTCCGACTAAGAGGATGTCGTGGTCTGTGTTGTTTGCCACGAGTTTGGTGAGCCAGGGAGTGGGATTTGCGACCTTGCGGCCCGGTCGCCAGTACGCGTTGACGATTGTGATGGGATTGGGGCAGTTGCGGGGTTGAAGGGTGATGATGACGTGCTCTTGGTGAGCGGTGTTGATGTCTGTTGTGTTGAGTTATATTGACGGGTGTTCTTTAGAGATGTATGTCGTGACGAGTGTGAGGGTGTATGTGTTTTGCCTGCGGTCGGTTTGAGTGATGCTGGGTTGGGTGTAGGGTGTGTATTGTGGAAGGTTGTGAGTGCCCTGCGTGTCCTGGAGAAGGATGATGTCGGGTTTGCGATCTAGCGTGTTGAGGTATTGGGTGAGACTGGCTCGTTTACGTTGTAGGCTGCGGCAGTTCCATCGTAGGATGTGTATAGATTGTTTAGATATTGGTTTCGTCATCAGTTGATGGGGTGTCGATATTCTGACGGGGGATTTGATTTTAGGTTGTAGGGGTCGTCTGCTTTTCGTTTCGGGTGCTGAGGGCCATGTGCTTTCAGTTCTGCTACATCCTACTCGAGAGCGGCCAGGTGCCCCTGAATGTTTTTCAGAACGAGCATGATTTGCTTGAGTTCGACGGAGACCTGGGGAGTGACGGGTTGAGAGGGGGGAGGTAAAGTGTTCATGTGTTGATTTTCTGGTGCTGCGTTTATCGCTTGTACTGTGTTTGGGGTGGTTGGTGTGCGCTTGGCAGCGAGAAGCGCTTGTTTGTACGTGTCGGATGCAGTAATGGCTTGGGGTATGGATTTGGGTCGGGATGCGTTTGTCGGGTGTAATGTGGAACGGAGTGGCTCTCTCACCTTGTTGTTGCGGCTGAGACTCCGGGTCCTGCGATGTTGCTGAGTTGAGCCTCGTGGGATGGGCGGTAGGCGATAATTCTCCCGTCTGGAGTTGGCAGTGGGCACGTTGTCGGAAGGAGGTGCTGGTTGGCGGGGCGGGTTGTGTGTGGCCGAGGCTTTCCCACCCTTCGGTTTTGGTGGTGGAGGAGGGGTGCGCAGTGTGTTGGGGATGGTTGTTGCCTTGGGACGCTGCTGTACTCGCCGTTTGTAGGCATCGAGAGTGGCTTGCGCATCGCCTTGCTTTTTGGCGGGGCAGTTTGGGTCTTTGGAGGCGTGCTCTTCTTTACAATTGACGCAGAAAGGAACGCAGTTGTGAAGGGTGTCCGAGGTCATGTTTTCCTGGTAACAGATGTCGCATACTGTGAGCTTGCCTTTCTTGGGGCAGACTTCCGCGCGGTGGCCGAGTTGGAGGCAGTTTTGGCATTGTTGAGATTTTGGCTTGTGTGGGTAGCACCGGAATTGGAGGCGGCGGTAGTATATAGTATAGTGCACGTATGTGCCTTCGAAGGTGATGAGTACCGTTTCGGTCTTGCCCATCATGCGAGCGGTGAGTACTGGGACATTGGATTCGATGTTGGCGACGAGCTTGTCGGCGGCGGTGAGAGACGCGACGCAGTGGATGACGCCCTTGCAGGAGTTGGTGGGGGCCGAGGGGTAGCTGGTAACGGCGTAGTCGCGATTTGCAATGGTGAGTTTCGTGGTCTGCAGGAGCTTTTCCTGGGCCGAGGGTCGGTAGGTGTCGGCGATGAGGGCGTTTTGCACGTCACGTATCTTAAAATACGTCTCTTTCGCTTCCGATGGCGTAAGGTGGGCGGCGGCGGTTACGGCATCGGTGAGATGGGTAGATTGAAGTTCCGACAGGGCAACCCCGTCGGTCAGCTTTATGACGATGGTGGGGTGACTTTTCGTTGGTTTTGAAGAATAACGCAGGGTAGTCCATGGTTCAGCGACGGGCGGAGTCATGGCGGGAGCTTCAGAGAAGCAGCGCGGTGCCGGAGATGCAGCTGGGCGGCCGGCCGGGGAGTGGGCCTCTCGATGTTTAGTCTGGAGGCTCACGTGACGGAGCAGGGAACTCGGCGAGAACGGAGAGCTCGAAGAGCACGACCGTTCTCGACGGAGGCTGAGCGAGAACTCCGATTTGAGAGGATTCGTAGAATAAAGGAGGCTATGCTCAAACACGAGCATCATGTACTCGAAGGTATCTTTCGCAGGCTTGCGATCGCTCGTGCTTACTTCACGAGCACCGAACGACTAAACGCCTGTCAAAGGTACCATTGCGAGCATGCTGCATGGGTTTGAGGCTTGTCGTTGTCTTTTGCCTCTGTCTGTCGCTCTAGTGGGACACGGGCAAACCAAACACATGAAGTGTGCAGTGACGTTGCGGTTGTAGGTAGAAAAGAGCTTCAGACCGTGCATGGTGTAGTCTTCAGCGCTGGTACGTAGGGCACGTGCACATTTGCTCGCTTTCGGAATCGACGAACACGTTCGTGTTGAGCTATAAAGATCGAATGCTGAGCAGTGCGATCTTCACCATAGCCTCCTCTATACTCACAACCCCTGTCAGTTCGATGACGGAGGCGTAGAGTGCCTGGTCGCAGATTTGGAGTGTGAGGATCCGGTAGCTCAGAGCATTTCTCGGGGAGTCGGTTATTTAGCGCACAGCTTTTGCAGCGGCGAGGACCCGAAACATGGTTTTGAACCCGACGAGAAAAGAAGCGGTAGCCCGAGGAACGCGAGATGCAGGAGCGGACATTCCATCGCTTGGGATAAGTGTGTTTCGGCGTCTCGCCGCAGCGGTGCGCCCGTTACGGTTACATGACTCTTGCCTGCCGCTCTACCTTTTTACTCTCGGCGGCCGCGTCACGTCACGATCTTCCAAGCTTTGTCAGTATAGAGGATGCTATGTCTTCACAGCCCAGCATTTTGTAAATCAAGAGCTTCTGGCCGGTGCGACTCTTGACGTTCGTACATATGGCGTTTGGTTTGCCCACTTTTCTAAACGATGAAAAACCGTAAAGTCTTGACTGTGACTTTGAAAACATTGAAACGGTTTATAAACATCTTTTAGCATCTGCTCATCAGCGGTAATAAAGCATTAAAAAATTAAAGACGTTAGGAGCTCCCTGTAATATCGAATTAGAGCGCAGCTCGAGGAGAAAGGAGAGGGTACGAGGAGGAGGGTATGCCCCTCCTCCATTGATTCTCCTCCTCTTTTCCTCACCCTCCCTCCTTCACGACCTTCACTTGAAAGTCATGTGACGTTCACGTGACTTTCACGTGACGTTCACGTTCACGGGAAGGTCACGTGAATTTCGAACACATTTGGAACTACCTTCGGCTCTCTTTGAGGCTCTCTTTTGGAGTCGAGGCGATGTCAACGCTCATTAAAAATCCATGTCTGGAGGTGCTTTGATAACCGTGCATTCATTTTTATTTTATGCGAAGAAAACAAAAATTTCCATTGAAAGTTTTACATGGTTCCGGCGTCTGGAGATATATGGAGCAAGTGGACCATTTCTTTGATTGTTGGGAACGCTTCAATTTATTCTGCTAATGCGAAACATCATTCATCAGGCAGGGGCACCAAACCCAGTCACGCTACCTCCTGGAAGCTTTTTGTCTGGTGCCCAGCAGAATAGTCTTGAATTTAAGAAGTTCAAGTTCAAGTTCAGTCATCTAGGGTTCTCCGTGTAGGCTCCTCACAAAGCAGAAAGCGCGTCTTCTGGGAACTGACTAGGGCACATCGTACTTCTTGGCACTTCGGCGTGCAAAGGAAGCTTTGATCACGCCGCGAGACCTGCGAAACTTGCTCTCGACGAGTTGTGCCTCTTTCTGCGGCGCTGCGCTTTCGTAAAACTTTCCTCGTGTTCTCAAAGGGAAGTCTCACGGCCTACACAGGGTTTCAGTGACCTTCTTCGGCGAATGACGATGAACGAGTAGAAAACGTGTTTTTAGCACGCTGCCGTCAGCCTCTGCAACCCTAGCAAAAACGCGATTCTGCTGAATTCAGGATAGACGTAAGGTGGCCGCACTCGCGCTGCTGCGACCACTGTTCTATATATTATAGGGGGCCGGATGGCGCATAGCCACTCTTCAAGTGAAGTCACCGGAAGTTTTACGCTTGTCCCGGAAGTCGGGCGTCTCATGGGCTTCCCAGTGCATTCAGTCGATGTTTTGGTCTCTACTTTCCGGTGTCTTTGAGTGGATTTTAATAATCATGCTCCGAATTAAATCCCGAGAATGAGGCATTGGAACTTAAGACATTTGCACACTTAACCAACGATAATCTCAAAATGTTTACATTGAATGGCTTCCCATGATACTTCTCGGGTCTACATGTGCTCTCACTGCGCAACACTGTTTCATCGACAGTTCACCGCCGCTCGTTTAATCGACCACTACTACGGCGCCCGACCGGGCATCGAAGCCGAAGTTGAACTTGTACGTCCATCATGGTCGTGAAGGGAACTTCGGCTTCGCTCAGGGATTTCAATCTAATCTCAGGATTGAGTTGGCGCCCCCCGTAGTCGGGAAAGTCGATCCGTTCAGATGGGGGAAAATTTGTGGCCACGTGGTGACTTGCACTTTCAAACCAGTGTTTTATTGAATCGAAGTTTATTGCTTAGACCTTGCGGTCGAGCAAAAACTTACAAAATTATTTACAAACAAAAAAAAAAAAAGAAAAGAAAAAGAGCACAGTTAATACCATTATTTTTCAAAGCAAACGAATATATATGTTACACATTTGATAAACTGATAACACACAATAAAATTGGTCTGTAGGGCTCAACTGTTGTCCAAGTTAATTTCCTCTGCGTTTCGTTGCCGAATAATACTGCAATTCGAATTAACGCAAAAGTAACGTTCGTTAGGTTTTGAAAGTAACGTTCCTACGAAAATAGGTATGATGTATTAGGTACCCCCATGTGTGATATCCGTTGAGATGGGGGAAAAATTTGTCGCCACGTGGCGACTTGTTTGTTCAAGCCAGTGTTTTATTCAATCGGAGTTCATTGCTTAGCAATTACGGTCGCGCAAAAAATTACTAAATCATTTGAAAACAAAAACGAAAGAAGAAAAAAAAGAGTACAGTCAATACAATCAGTTTTCAACAAAAGAATATATGCTGCACGTTTTATAAACTAATAACATACAATGAAATTACCGTCTGTCGAACCTGAACTGACTAGTCCCATGGACAAGCAATCTTCTTTGCTTTTGTGGGCCAGTTACTGTAAGTGTTTTCTTTTTAAAGGAATGAAAAACGTCATTAATATTATTATTATAAACTCTTGTCTAAGTTCATATCCTCTGCCTTTCGCTGCCAAATGATACTGAACGTTCGTTAGGATTTGAAAGTAATGGTAACGGTATATCTTTACGTTCGTTGGACGGTAACGAATCTCATTAACCCATTAATTTTTGACGATCTAACGAGTGACGGTATTTCGTTGCTTATTTTTTGTAACGGGCACAACGGTGTTTGGGTCCCACTAGCGCCAGAAAGCCCAGCACCTGAGAGTGTTGCACGGCCTCTTGAAGCTGACGGTGCGGCGGAAACTGCCGGTTTGCCGGACCAGTCAACCACTTCCATGCGTGACCAGGATCTCTTAGGGGATATAGCTGGCAGTACGGGCATGCTCGTGCTCGTAGCTTCTCCCACTCTGCCAGCTTAGGCCCTCTGCACCTGCCACCAAGGAAAATTTTTAGCGTTCAATATAATTGGGTAAGTAATTTTGACTGAATAAATTGCTAATATTTGATTTAAAGGCATGGTTTCAAATAAAATCTTGCTCGGCGTCATTGAAAGCTACTAAATACACCCACGTTACAATGGTATGAGGCACGCGCACCATCTTACGGCGTTCTGGAGAAATGCTCCATTTGAATGCGTGTCTTAGTTTCGGTTTCTTATGGGAGCGCATCTCTACACTCTCGCTCCCCGTGTCTAAGACGCGCAACGCGCGTGCGCCGCCACGCATCGCACGTAGAGAAGTCTATATAGGAAAGCCTCCGGACTGTCACACGAGGTCTGCCTTTTTGACATCGGAGCCAGAGTGAAGACGCACCTCTACGTGCGATGCGTGGTAGCACACGCACGTTGTGCGCTTAGATATGGGGGGGCGGGATTGCCCGCGCAGAATGAGCTCCAATGAGAAGCCGAAAGCCAGAAACGCGTCCAAATTGAGCATTCTTTGGGAACGCCTTCAAATGCTGTGCCTGCCTTATACCATTGTAACGTAAGTGTATATAGTAGTTCTCGATGATGCCTTCATAATTCTAATTGAAACCGTGCCTTTAAAACTATAAATTAGGAATTTAAGTTCTCAAACTTTATTAATTATCCAATTATATTGAACACTAACGATTTTCCTTTGACACAGACCTGTGCGGCATTAACTTTTTTTTTTTTTTTTAAGCGATGCGTAGTTTTTGCAGGACTGGATTTGCCCGCGTTTCCGGAAACACACTGCATATGTCAGAACAAATATTCTATACAGTTGGAAATACAACTCCACCTGCGGCAATTCCTGGCGCGCCAGACAATATTGACAGCCACTGCTTACTCACAGTAGAATAAGACATATATTGATGGATTATGGCTATACAAGGTTTACACACATGAATATACAAAATGGAGTTAATTATGCTTTTAGCAACGAAAATATATATGATCTACCTGCTACAAGAGTAAGTTCGAGTTAATAAATGCCTGACGAATGCAAGTGAAACCCGATGAATTCCAAACAAATTGCCGTCGTCGTCAAGGTGCAAAAAAGAAACAACAGCAACACAAAATAACAATATCATACAGGAAAAACATACATAAAAGTATTTCATGTAGCAAGCACATTGATAGATGTCATTGGAATTCAGTAACTCAAACCGGTCAATAAGAAAAAAGAATGAATAAAATTAAAAAATAAGGTAAGAAACAAGAAATTGCATTCCTAATACTTCGAGTTTTGTATATTCTGTTACAGTCCTATGCACAAAACATCAGTTTCCAGCTTGGTGCGTTAATTAGTTTTTAATATAATTTTATTTTTATAACTTAGATTGTGTTGGCATTACTCGGTTCTTCGTATGCTTTTTAACTTTTACATTATTCATGATTGTTGCTATTGTAATACCTTAGTTATTTTATATTTTCGTATATTCTTGGTTATTTGCAGGCCGATTTGTAAGCAACATATCAACCTACATGCAGTACAGAGACTACAGGTGGAGCACGTGATCAAGGACTCTAAATTAATTAAATATAGTATGCTTCAAGTATTTTTTTGTGTACAAAAAACCAGCCCCTGGCTTCTTCTTAGGTAAATTCACATCTTTATTTGTGATCACACGATAAATAACAGGCTAAAATATTTTAAACCGTGCAACACCTACACTGCTCACAAGTAGAACCCCTGCAGGCCTACCGCCAAACGACATGAACACACGAAGGAGCTCGAGTATTTCGTTTAAACCCCCTCCACAGCTATGACGCGCGCGTGATGGTTTCAATCACTTGCGATGTATCTTCCGATGATTGTGTAAACCACTACGAGACGCAAGCGCTCTGCTGCAGGTCTCGCAACTGTACGGCTTCTCTCCGGTGTGAGTCCTCTCATGGTTCACCAGGTTGGCTTTCTGAGCGAACGCCCTGCTGCACGTTTTGCACTTGAACGGCTTCTCTCCCGTATGAATTCTTTCGTGATCCGCCAAGGTGCGTTTCAGAGTAAACGCCTTGCCGCACGAGTGGCACTTGAACGACTTCTCTCCGGTGTGAATCTTCTTATGAACCGCCAAGGTACCTTTCAGAGAAAACGTCCTGCTGCACGTGTTGCACTTGAACGGCTTCACTCCGGTGTGAGTTCTGTCATGAGCCATCAAGTCATACTTTTTCGTGAACGTTTTCTCGCAGACGCCGCAAGGGAAGGGCCTCTCGCCAGTGTAAGTCCTCTCGTGAATGGCGACAGCCGTTGCGGAAGAGCTTGAGTGAGGACATAAGCGGCACGGGTGCTTGTCCGGTTGTCGGTGCGTTTGCTGCTTGTGTGGGTCCGACCAGTTGGTCTGAAGAGAGGTGTCACACCTGCGGCTGTCAAGGTCAAAGATATCCACTTCGTCGTTATGGTATGCTTCCATCCAATCTGTTGGGATGACACAGCAAAACAAGGAAGCTCAAAGCAGTTTTTATAGTTCTGAACATGCATTTTGAGTACCTATATGAACATGACCTGTATACCTACATTATACGCGGTGCGGTTTAAAGTAAGTATTCATTCATCTCAGATGTTAAGAAGGTTCAATCGCGATGCTTCCGAAGGTCTACAGGCGATCGTTAAAGACTCGACTCTGGCAGCCGCCATGGTGCCGCAGCTATGGTGGCCTGCACGTTCTGCTAACCAAGTGCAGAAAACTCAAGCCGCCGCGGTCGCCGCTGCACAGTGTTGGCGGTAAGATGTTAGAAGTAACGTCGTTACCGGTAAGGCGTTATTTTTTTCAGTAACGCAATAATGTAGTCGTTACTTTTCCAAGAGAGTAACGGGTAATGTACTTAAGTCACTTATTTTGAGTAACGGGTAACGTAATTATGTTACTTGGTGCATCTTCCGAAAACCTGGAAAAAGTACACATATTTTTTGCGCGTTTCTATGCTTCGTTTTACCTTAAGCGCAGTCGAAGCGGCCGCTACAAGCTCATAGTACCTATCAGAAGGAGTGAAAAGGGCACCATCATGGTCTTCGCCGTGTCTCTGGACGTGTCTTATCATCGCTGAACCAATCATAAACAAAAAAGACCCAGTGGCTTGCGCTTTTGATGCTGCTTTAATGGTCCCATTAGCTTGTAGCGTCGGCTGCGTCTTTAGTTAAGCTGGAACGTAGTACGCGATCCAAGTCATTAATTATTGCACTCATTTGACATATTTTCAAAAATTATGCCCTGCCGTTTCTTCACAAAAATGTTCCACTCTAGGAAAAATCCCAACGCCCGCGCCCGTAATCCCAGTGTCAAAAAACGCTGTCGCCAAAAATGCAGCAAAAACAAAAAATGCACACAGACACGAAGAAACGCTGTTATTGTCAATTTATAAATAAAAAATGCTGCAAAAGTAACGTCCTTCACTTTCTATCGCTAACGGTAACGAATTCCCTTTATTTTTAAGTAACGTAGGTCAGTAACGCGTTATGTTATTTTGAAACTAACGAGTAACGTATTTCGTTACTCTTTTCAGTAACGCCTACAGCACTGTAGGTGCATAACGGTGCGAGGACGGAGCGCTGGGTGGTAGCGTGTTGACAATTATAATGACGGCGACTGTGCATAAAATGACGCTGGAATGGTCTTCCACACACCCAAAGATTACTAGATTGCACAAAATTGCATTCAAAAGGCTCGTAAAATAATCGTTTTGTACCTTAGAAAATTCAAAATTAGCTAAGGTTCACAACGAGTAATTTACGGGCACTTTGAAACAGCGAAAAACGCTGTTTCAAATCGGCACTGGTATGGACATTTCCGAGTCTAAAGCTAAACTTCGGCGACACAAATAATTTTGTGGGAAAATCTTCAATCATTTGAAACAGCGAAATTTTTTAGGGCTATATCATCGGTTAAAAATCATTTACAGTATGTGTGCCAGCTAGTCCCTCAACCGAAATTAAACAGAAAAAAAGTAAAACAAATAAACAACTCAACTACGGTACATTTCTCTAATATCTAACAAGGTGTAACAAACTGAAACTTCGAGTGCTCGGACTGAATGTTCCGTTAGTAGAGCCCAGCTTGTCTGTTTACTTCCATTTGAGTTGTCGTTTTTGCACTTTGGAATGTAACTCCTTTACTCACCCCCACCCCCTTTCCCTAAGAAACAAAAACTGTATTTTGTTGTGGTATCCTCATCTGCTTGTTGCGGGGCGCTAACTAAACCTTAAAGAAGTGTCCACGTGGGAGAAACTTTGAGTACCACACTGGACTCCTTATATTTTCCACTTTCTGAAAACATAGCCTACAAAAGGTTTTTTATCCCTGTGGGGACCGTTCATGAATCATTGAATGTGTCCTAAGAAGGTGCGAAGTTCGATAAGTATGGTCCCATTGGCGTCTTTTCATACCTGGTGTTGTTATTTCTGTGGGCACCATAAGATTGGGGGCAGAAGTCGCACCGCCGTCTGTCCTCCCCTCCTGGTCCATCTTCCATGGTTGCCGCTGCAATCCGGCTCCTTGGAAGGGCAGCTCCGCCCGCTTGTCCTCGCAGTCCGTTCTTTGCCATTCGTAGTCGAATGCTGCTTGGGAAATTTCTTTAAGCAGTCAAGATGAAATTTTCTTTAGCTCCTTTCTTCTTATTTATACTACACCAATACAGAAGCCCAACCAGAACCCACTAAAGGAATAAGCAAACAGGGACGAATCATGGAGATAAAGTAGAGAAATTCAGGAGTTCACATTCGTATTGTGGCGTTTTTCAAAAGGTAAAATAATCATGTCACAAAAAAACACGCGCATCATAACTGGATACTGAGAATCCTGAAAAAGTCAATTGTAAAAAATGTACGTAACGCAAACATAAAGCGATCCTTCTTTACTAATACGTGCTTCAAAGGTTTTACTTCAGTTTTAAACACGTGTTGAAGGATTGTTTTGATACAGACCCACACAAATCGACAAAGAAACAACTGGATACGATCAAGGAGCGTGGTTTAGTTACGTCGCTCCTGCTCTGTAGTGCTGAAAAAATGCCGGCATGTTGCGCAAAGCAACAACTGTACAATATATCACCGCCATAGGTTTTGGGAATTTCACGTCAACAAAACGGACACGGTGTGTCGGCGAACGAAGGTAGTGACGGGAATGAAAATGTTGCAAGTAGTTGACTAAGCTGTGGCCATTCCCTATTTGATCTGACTGGCCGGTCCCATTCATCTGGGGAAAAATGTTGCCCAAGGTTCTGACACTGCCATAGGTTGATCTGGTTGATTGCTGGACCTCTTTCCTAGGCTGCGAAGGGTCGCTCACACTTGCGTTAAGAAAACTGCTAAGTTTAGAAGGATTAGGGTGGGGGTTAATAAACAGTCGCCAACACAAAGTTACTTTACCTGCCCTCAAATATCATCAAATTCGATGAGCAAGAATAAAATTGGAGGGTACCAGTGCTTGGAATTGGTATAGTTGGCTATTCCTTACTTGATCAAACTGCGCAGTAAATTATTACGAATCACGACGCAGAAACGAGAAAAACAGAAGGCAACAAACGGGATACCGTTCATTTGCAGTGCAGTTTAGTCAAGTAAGGAACTGAAGGCCACTTCATAAATAACGACACCGCTTCTGAGTTTGAGAGTGTCTGCGAGAACTTTCAATCTGTAGGGCATAAAAGATTAAGTCCCATGTGACTATACCATTTCCAAGAATGAATTTTTTGGCCAAATACCGCTGACCATCTTGATTTTCACGAGATGTTTTATTATATATGCAACGCCTAACCGCCTGGGAGAAGAAACATTTTTACCGGTTCCGTCAGTGCTGCATCCACGGGACTAAAGCTGTCATATATAAAATGATATGCAGTGTATATCAATCAGTCAGTCTCGCATTTTGCTAAAAACTAACATAAGCGGGGCTAATTTAGAAAGACATCAGGATGGGTTTTAACTGAAATACTTAATTCACGTTCAAGAGTTTCCCTGAAACCCGCATGGGTAAAGAGCTGTTTAGACAAGCCAGAAGTTGATTTCAAAATATTATAACATGGTTAATTGATCTCCAGTATTAATTGATTACCATTGATCACCAGTATCAAGTTGACAGTCGCTATTTCAACACAAATATCTTCTTTTATTAATTGTTCCGACTCATGACGAGCTTAAAGTGGCTTTCTTCTTTTCTTCATCTCCGTTAGCTGAAACACTTATTTAAAAAAAAAATGAGTGTGAGTTTGATTCCAGCGTAGTTTTATCCCGTAAATCTGACAACTGCGTTCGTTTTGTTGGAAGATGTAACCAAACGCGAGAAAACACGAAAACCCTCCGACTAGTCGTTTTGTCATCATAGGATCTTTCGGCCGCCAAACGCGTGTCCCTCGTGTGGCGGCGCGTGCAATTGGAAGCTTGCCACTCCCCCGCACTGGCACCAGTCGTGACATCTTTGCGAAGCAAGGGGTATCCACACGAAGGAGAACTCCGCGGACGGATGTCGTGACGTCAACAACCCGGGAAACTTCGTCCCCGGCTCCGCCGCGTGCACCTGCGGAGCTTTCGTGCTAAGAGTACGAAGCCTCCGCGCCTCCGCCACGGAGGAGAACGGGAGAACGGCGCCGCGAGGCGTCAAAAAGGGATGACGTATGTCTCACGTGATACGCGCTCCGCGGAGGAAAGGGGCGGATTTCTCGGTATCCACACGAAGGAGAACTCCGCGGACGGATGTCGTGACGTCAACATCCCAGGAAACTCCGTCCCCGGCTCCGCCGCGTGCACTTGCGGAGCTTTCGTGCTGTCAGCACAAAGCCTCCACGCCTCCGCCACGGAGGAGAACGCGCCGCGAGACGTCAAAAAGGGGTGACGTATGTCTCACATGATGCGCGCTATGCTGAGGAAAGGGGCTGATTTCTCCTTCGTGTGGATGGGGCTAGCCATGTCCGTATGTCCGTCCGCCGTCGGGTGCACGTGCTCCTGCTCGTGAGCTCACGCGCTCACGAGCACGTGAGTACGTGCTCTTGTGCTCGTGTAGCGCAAACAAAAACAAACAGCCGCATCTCCTCGTGGTGAATGATGTTGATTGGGGCGAGGCTCTGGTGGTGCTTGTCTGCGTAGACGGTGAGCCGCAGCATGCCGAGCCTTTCGTTCGTTTTCATCCATGTCGGAAAGAGAATGTGTGGTATGGAACGTGGTTATATACGCATTTGGGCATTGGACCGCAGCATGACATGGATGAAAACGAACGAAAAGCTCGGCATACTGCAGCTCAGCGTCTACGCAGACAAGCGCCACCAGAGCTTCGCCCCAATCAACATCATTCACCACGTGGAGATGGGGTTGTTTTTTAACCTTTTTAAAAATAGCAAGAGTGCGCGTGCATAGCTCCTCTCATGACTGCACGCTCCGAGAAGCAGGCGCTTCATCGGTACGAATTTGAAAATCATTTTCTGCTGCCTCCGTGCACAAAATCGAAAAACATTTTTCGACATTGGACTTCTTGGAGGCCAAATTGAGACGATTTAAGGTTGTTTCCTCAAATACAAAACCGCTTCAGCTGCCCTTTAAAGACGTCTAATTTTAAGATCGCCATCGTTGAACACCTTTCTGGTCCTTCGTACGTTCATTCGCAGTTTTTCTTATCCATTTTCTACTCCTTCTGTAACGTCCTCCCAAACCCTGAAAGTATGGTTCAGGCTGGAACATGGCACTTATTACAGATTTTGTTCGGGGCCTGTTTCGCCAGCTATGCTACAAGGTATCGTCCCTCTTTTCAAAACCAGTTTTAGGGGTTGGCGTTTGGTTCATGGCGAGAGCGATAGCATTCTCGGTTTCTTATCGAAAATGACGCCCCAGCGTTTTTCTCGGCGAGAGTTATCGTCCAATGATACATCTTTAGTTGGTTCACGAGTCCTTTTGGGGAGAACTACTCACTAACACACGGATGGTGACAGGGGTCGCGCGGCAAATTAATGTATCTGGTCCGAGTGGACATAGGAGGATTTGAGCTGTGTACTGCAGCAGAGCTTAAGACTTGCAGAGGAGCGCTCGTTGCCGATCGCATCGAAAGG